GGGCGAAGGTGGCAGGCGGAGAGGGGGGAGGCCGCTGTCCTGCAGGTCTGTATCGAGGCGGCAGGAAGCGAGGGAGAGAGGGGAAGAGCCTTAGCACTGCAGCATCTGGCTGGGATTGCCCCTTTGGAGGGCTCAGGTGAAACTTAGGGTTTTCTGCCCTCAGCACAGGGAGGGCCTGAAACTCTGAGCAAGCAGCCCTGGCTAGTTTTAAGCTGGAACTTGATAAAGTTGATGAGACGTGTGTTGTGAATTGTTAACACTTCTCTGTTCTTGTATAGTGGTTCTGGCAGTGCAAGTTTCTGATGAACTCTGAACACCTGCTTTTCTTCTCAGCACTCTGCCTTGTGAGCCTGTATGTTTGAGTCTTGCTCAGGGCCTCATCTCTCTTTCCTATCTTGCTCAGACAACTTCAAACTCTGGAATTAATTTCCTTAGCTCTTCTGTATCTCCTGAACTCCACTGGCTCTAGTTCCTCCTGCTTTTATCTCACAGAATCTTAGTCTGCAGCTTAGAGATTTTCATATTTCCATCTTCCACAAACATTACTGTACCTGTATATATGGAAAAACATAGCTCTTCTAGAGCTCTTGGCTGTCCCACAACTTGCTTTTTGATTGTGAATAATTGTGAATTAACCTCTCCTGCCCCACCTTGGTTGAGATTTTCACAGAAGTCTAGGATGTGTAAACATGTTTTTTTACCATGTAATGGAAATAGGTGTTTAAACTTACTTACGAGTTTTACGTATTTTACCTATTTCATCTACTGTTATGGCTAGTGTGGAGCGTAGATCCATAATTAAAGCTGCAGCACTTTTCAGTGGAAAGAGAATTTGTTTAATGGATTTATTAATCTTCTATTAAAAGGAGAAATAGGCTGCAGCCTCAACTGTTTATTTAGGAAGTAAAAATGATCCCATCTGAAGTGTGTCACTGTGGTTGAGAGGAGACACTTACGCAAAATGATATTATTTGCAAGAGCTATGACCCAGGTTATGTGCTTTGTGAAAACAATATTAGTGATGGAAAACATTACATAAAATAAAAAAGAATTTAAGCCCTCTTAAATGTCAAGCAAAGCACATTTCCCTAAAATAGAAACATTCAAAGTTTGTCTTTCTGTTATGCATTATAAATTACTATTAGCAGTAGTAATATGTCTAAAAATTTTAGAAGAAAATGACAACGATTATTCTGCAGTAGCTGATTGGAATACGCTGCTTTGTGTTTTCAGAAAACACAGAACTTTGACAAAACTGACGTTTTCATATAATATTTTGTTTTGAAAGAACTAGTGTGTTTCAACAGGAAAATACTTGGTTACAAATTTTCCAAATAACTCTAATTACTTTGTTCCATCTATTGCACCAGGCAGCAAAATTTGTGGCCGAAATAGTTCTGACATATAGTGTTTATGCAGGATTGGAGATAGGCACAGTGTGGAGGACATGTGGGTGAGTCAGGGCTAATTATGTGACCTAGTGGGTGCCCTGCATCATGCATAGTTGATGGCAGATAGCAGCCCCAATCCTAGTCCCAGTAAACCTTCACCTGTTATATAAGGCTGCAAAGTTGTGCTGTTATCCTGTTAACTTTATCCCTGCATATGTATTTTCTAGACTCTGCAAACAGAAGTTAAAAATTCTTAGTTCTGCTAATTCAGAACCACTGCTGGAGAAAAATGCAGAGTTGGTCCTGTGAGCATTCATAAAGCTCTGCTTATGTGCCACAGCATTTCATGTATCTATTGCCTGTGTAGAAGGGCCGGAAAAACACTCGTGAGCCGAAAAGCCTCTTCTCTATTGCGATGGTATTCAGTTCATCTGCAAGAACACGTGGTCAGTGTGCTCTCACTGCTCCCTGGCTCCGCTTACTCCTCTGGTGTGTAGCAATAGTCCAACAGCAGAAAATAGAAAACTACTCAGAAAGGATAAGAAGAGAAGTTATTTGTGGGCATGAATATCTTAAGGCTAATCAGAAAAACGTTCCTAACCCTGAGATCAGTGAGGTTGTAGTACAGACTTAGAGTAGAGGGGATCAGCAGTCAAACTGATCTTAAGATAGGGTTATGTTCATGAAAAGAGTGCAGAAATGCTGCTTGCAATTGCCAAGGGCAAAGGTCTCTTCCAATCCAATGCTCTTATTTGGAAAAAGATAAGAGACAGAAAGCTTCTGAATAGGAATTACAAGAGAGTAGCATATTGTGCACAGAGGGTGCATGGTACGCTGCAGGAACTTTTCTGCCTTGGTAATGGCAGACTGAACTGTGCCGCGGTCAGACATACTCATTTAGTGGTGAATGCACTAAGTCCCTTTGATAAGGGGATCTTGATATTTATCCATCACCTTACTGACAGGTAAAAACCTCTGCAGGCAATTATCGTGAAATTGTCGGTGTGCTGGAAGTTCATATCCTGACTCCTCTTCAGTAATTTATTTTAGTCCCTGTGTAACACAAGAGTGTTTACATCTGAACTTTTACCCTGTTAAAGTACTAGTATCTTTAATGCAGAACAATCCTCCTAGTTAAGTTCATACAAAGAGAAGCTGCACCTGTGTAGTTTTTATTTTATGGGGATGAGATGAACTATGAAATTGTAGAAAAGATTAAGTGTATATATAATTGGGTCCACACTATAGATTGTACTTGCTTGTTTATTGCAGAAAAAAAGGCATGCTCTATTACTATGATATAGCAGTGTAAAAACAGACTGTGAACTGAGGCTAACTTTATTTTTAGTGAAAACTGAAAGAAATAGAAACATCTCTCCCTGCTCTTACGACAGTTCTTTGTGCTCCATCAAAGTAAGATTGTCCCTATCTTTTTGAAAACTCTCCTCTAGCAAGTCATAATACTAGATCTTGAAGTTGTTGTGGTTTTGTAGCGTTGGTATGAGGCTGAATTTAACAAAGTGCAAGCATCAGTTCAGTGTAATTCTTAGGCGATGACATTCCCTTTTTCATAGTATTTTAAGAAATGTATGTCTTTGATTAATGTTTTAATGCTCAGTTGCTTTTTCCTAAGATGGGTTCAGGGTCCAATCTCAAACAAGATTGGCTTTGTCAACAATCACACTGTTTGCTATCCATGCGGCAATTACATCCTCTTTCTCGACACTGAAACAAAGAAGAAGACAGTATTGGAGTGTCAGACTGGCCAAGTGGGAGCCTTTGCAGTGAATGGGAACAGCAAAGTGGTGGCCTTTTCAGACCGGAAGCTGAATCCTTTCATATATATCTACACTTTTCCAGAACTGAATAAGCTGAGAGAATTAAAAGGTAATGATGTGGTAACCCTCCTCATTGCCATTCCGTTAAAACAATGCTTAAATTACCCATTTTCTCAAGGGTATTTTTGTAAAACTTGAAAAACTATGTGACAGGAAACTAATGACAAGAAGTGCAAAAAACAGTGTAAAGAAGTTTCCATTGTACTACTTCTAGGTAAGCTCAAACTAGGGAGCGATATGACAATTTAAAATATAATTGTTATAAGGGAAAAACAAATGCAGGAATATGACAATATACAATGTAATTGTTATGAGGGAAAAACAAATACAATGAGGTGTTATTCGTTATAGGAAAATGTAGTCTGAATAACAAAACAAATCTTACCAGAGCAGGTTCCCACAAGCAGACCGTTGAAAGTCACATTGAGACATCTGAGATGTGAGAGGAATGATGGTGCTTGCAGTTAAGATTTAGTGTTTGGGATCTAGTGTATATCTTTGCTTGTTCCATTAAACTTGTCTCTATCTTTAGTTAAGTGGCTTACTCTCTCCGTGTTTCAGTTCCCTTGTCATTTAAATAACTTCATTACTTCATGGAAAAGCATATGAATGAAATTATGACTGCAAAGGACTTCAGGATACTTGGAGGAAAAAGCGCCTTACAAGTACAAAAGATTATTGAAACAAAATGCAAAAGTTAGAAAGAATGATTCATAAGGAGCATTTTTATGATCAAACCAAAATAAATAATTTGGAATGAAGCAAATGAATCAAGGGACTGAAAAATGTCTTTGAAGAGTTAAAAGAAAATGGATAAATAGGAATTGAGAAGATCCCTCTATCTGTGAAAGTATGCTGTGAAGTCCGGGGCAATTAAAGACCATATTCTTTGTTTTAGGTAATGTTCAGCTGGACTACACCTTACTTGCATTTAGTTTCACGGGCCCCTATCTAGCCAGTTACTCTTCAATCCCAGAATTTGTTCTTTCAGTATGGTAAGAGTAAAAAGTTTTTCTCTAATACAAAGTATATTTCATTAATATTTTTGTGTGTGTGCTGTTTTAGCATAAATTAAATTAACTGATATAAAAGGTAAACTGGTTGCCTTCATCGCTTCATTTTTTTTTTTCTTTCCAGTGGATCATTGTCTGAAAATTTTCTGTACCAAATTTGCCGCTTATTTTCTAGCGTTAGTAGTCACTAGTCAAAAAGACTGTTACTGTATGATGACAATCCTCCAGCTTCAAAATGTGTTACGTTTTGGAGTATTTCTGAAGTCTTTAGCATTAGTTAGCTCTTTCTTCATCTTTGGAAGTTGAGTACCATGCTATTTGTAAAAGAAAATTGCCAGACGAGAACAGGAAAAGAGTTCTAAAGATAATCTCTACTTCTTTGCCCCACTGGACCACTCAGTAGTCTTCTTAGTAACTTGTAGTTGAACTCAGGTCTGTCTTCTAGTTGTGCCCAGTGATTATCCTACCGTTGGTCACTGAGTTAGATCATTATTTTCTGCTCATTGCCAGGGAAAGAAATATGATATGGCAGAGATACAGAAAGTAAAAATATATTTTTTTAATTTTGTAGAAATTAAATCCTACTTTTTCCTCCATGGCCAGCAAGCTTCCATTGTCTGCAGAGGCTGAGCACTTTTCCAAAACAAATGGGGTAGGTGGAATAGTGGAATAGGAGGAAGACAACCGGAGACAAGTAAGGCGTATACTTTCAATTTAGTGATGACCATGTTTTATACAGCGATTGCTGAAGAGGCAGAAATTCCTGTAAATTAAGAATTTAAGTAATAGTAGTAATACTATTACTGATGCCTCTTTTTCATCCCCTACAGGGAAAAATATTGTTTGCTGTGAACTCTGGTTGTACACAGTGGTGCAGGAAGTATGTCTGTGTGCGCCTTACAATAGAAAACAACAAGACGGTGTTTCTGGCCTGACAGGCTTACATGCTTATCACTCGGAGCAGAAATTGTATGCATGGCCTAATGTATTCCTTGGGTGCACTGAAACAAAAATCCACCATCCTGAAAGACTACACTAGATAATTCTAGAAGCTTCTAGAAATATTTGAATGCTTTAAGGCAGTGGAAATTTCCTAGACCAATTTAAACCTATTTGAATGAGCATGACTTTGACTATCAGCAGCAGGTAATTGTCGTAAGAGGACCATGCTAGATTCTAGTGAAAAAGGATTTAATAACAAAATACAATCTTCTTAGATACCAAACTTTGTATTTATAACTTGAACAGAGGTTTGTGAACTTACTGTGGAATCAAGACTTTCATTTTTGCAATTGTATTATATTCTGCATTCATTGTAGAAGTTTATTTGTACAGCTGAAAGAGATTTGAATGTTTGGCTTTATTAATATGTGATTGTAATATGATGGTTGTACAGTTTCGGTATTTTAAGCAGATCACTTGGTATACAGAGATAAAAGAGATATTTTGAAAGTTAGCTCAGAGTTGTAATATAGGAAGGTTACGGATAACTAAAAGCTGTCTTTTGTGAGGGGTATTTTATCCCTAGATCTTTATTCTTTTCTGCTCAAAGGAGAGACTCAGTGCCAGATTCTTTTTCAGATATATGCACCATATAGTTTCAGATCCTAACAAATTGTCTACTCCAAAAGAGTCTTGGCACTGTTTGTTAGGTATGAGATGAGAACATACTGACAGATCTTTAGGGAGGAGAGCTACACTGACATCCTTTTAAGTCAGAATTTCAGCTTATAGTTTTCTTTAATATTAATGAGAGCTACTATATATATGTGAATACTTTGCATTTTTTGCATAGGCTTTCAATATTAACCATTGTCTGGCATCTTGATCAGTTTCTGTGAGTGAATTTATTACAAGCCAGACCAGCAGGATTATGCTAAACCCATTTACAGCAGTATATGCACTTTAGTGTTTTTCATCTCAGCAGTAATGACACATACCAGCGCTGTGAATGTTATTTAGATTAACAGTCAAATATATTGTCCAATAAATTAAGAAACAGTGTTAACCATTTTCTTCAGATGATGTTAATCAGTTTTTGGACAGGACGTAAAAATGCAAATGCAGGCAAGGATTAATCTGGATAATGGAGAAATATGTAAATTAGACTGCGAGAACATACAATAGGTTGTTCTGGATAAAAGAAAAGTCAAGGGAAAGCAGATTCCCTGGCTGGTGTCAATTGCACAGCATAGCCTAGCACAAATTTTGTACTGCTTTTGGGATCGAGTTTGTTAATTCAGTTATAGCTTGTGTGTCTGGATTCTCAACACAATTACTACATAACCTAAGTAATTCATCCATAAATAATCAAGGGCTGACTGTGTTTTCTTTTCTAATTATAATAATTGCAACACTTTCTGCCTGCAAGCATTATTATCGTTATTTTGCAGATGGGAAAAGCAAGACTGAGGTCTGAGGTGCAAAGGGATGCTTGCGTGAGACCACACAAGTAGTGACAAAACTAGGAAAAACATCCATGACTTCAGACTCTGTTTTCTGGTCATTTCACACAAAGGAGTGGATGATAATGTTTCCAAAATGTCTATTTTCAAAATTATTGTACTATTCATTCTTTTTGTAACAGTATTAACTTTACATGTGGCTAATTAACAACTATCTCCTCTTTTCATTCTCAAGGCAATCTAGCTTGTTCGACAATAGAAATTTTTTGTCGGTGACAACGTATTTGTTTCCTGATCTTGATCTTCAATGGCAGTCAGAATCACGCCCAAATGGTTTGATTTGAATGTTTTTGATTTATTGAATGGATTTGATTTTCTTTTACTCTCCTTTTTGAAGGAACTGGCAAGAAAATATCCTCCTGTGCAGTGAATCTCAGCCAGGGGTAACAGCAACCGCATTAAGTTTTAACCCTATGAATTGGCAACAGCTGTGTTTTGTTAATGAGAGCTCTCTTACTATCTGGGATATTGAAAGGAATAATGAAGAGCATTATCTTAAGCGAAAGTGAGTAGAACAACTTTCAGGTCAAAAGAAAATTCTAGACATATATTTTAGTGACTAAGACTAGTGGTCTACATCTGTTTGCAACGAATTTAGATTCAGTTAAGTTCACACAGTGATTACAACCAGTAAGTGTTAAATCACAGTTCAGTGTGAATCTATCTACTCAATCAAGTGAATTGAATTTGTGATTTTTATTTCCTAGTGCTCACGTGTCCGGATTATGCACACAATTGAAGTTCATACTTATTGGCACCTTTGGTAGCTGCCTCTATCAAGAGCTGCAGAACCAAATTAGTATAGTGTCTGGACTGTTTTCCTATTTCTGCGTATGGTTATGTTGAGCACTGAGTGGGACATGAGCTGCTTTTGTAGCTGTGAGACTGCTATGTTTGGATCAAGTTTCTTCAGAGTAAGCATAGTTTAATAGTACATAATTGTAATCACAAATTGTACCAAAGCAATGTCAGTTTCTGTGTGGCTTCCATACCTTATGCGGTACAGATCCAGAGAGGATGTTTCTGTCAATGCAATTCACTGAGCACAGCAAACTTAGAATCTAGTTGTGCTAAAATGTTTTTGGAAGCTAGCATAAAAGCAGGTGAACAAGTATGGATCATTTAAGATGGAGACCTTGAAGTATAACACAGCTGCTACTGCAATGGCAGCAAATCTATAATTCCCATCAGTATATTCAGTCTCCTTAACTGGGAATATAACCAATATATTGCCACGGAGACAGTTTTACTAGTAAAAATTATAGACAAGGCCTTAATTGGAGACTTGAAAATAAAACTGGAAGTTGTTTTGCCTTTTGCTATTATAAAGTATAGATGTGAATATACCTTGATATACTCCTTTTTCTCACTTCTCATTCCACTCAGAGGCTGAACCTCCACTGAGGATTCCTTTTTTCACATACAATTTTGCCAAGACATAAATCAGCATTATCTCTAAACTACAGAATCCTCAACTCCTGCATTATAATATCTACTCATATGCTGAGTACTAAGCAGAGTGCAGCAGGCAAATAGTACAATCATCTTTTCCATCGTCTTTAAACTTATTCCAGATAAACATTACGCATTGATCCTCACAACATGCACGTTAGGTGTGTGATGTTATTAACCCTGGTTAATAACGAGACAGCAGCCTGAAACAGTTATTTATCCAAGGCAAAAAGAAAAGATACTGAGCTAGAATGTGGCGGTCCATTTCTGCCAATTCTCTGTTAGGAATATTATTTTTGAATTGCTATCGCTCTTCAGTGAAACAGCGTGCTGTATGAAATGGTTGTCTACAACAATCTTCTGTTACTGCTGCAGATGTAAATCTCATTAACCAAGCTGGTGTCTCCAGGTTTTCAAAACATACTTCTCTGTTCTGTATCAGCATTTATCATTCACATTTCTTCTCCTCAGACAGTGTATCTTCCTTTTTCACAGCCCCGTGAAATTCCCTGATGAACAAGGGTCTCTGCCTCCTCATGAGGATTTCTTTTCCCCTGATCCTCATAGTGAAAACCCGTACTATGGTCCTGTGATGCCAATTTCAGCTATTGCTGGACTGGTAGGAGATGAAGCAGAAACATTCATGGTAGTTACAAATTTTATCCATTTACTATCCCAAGTCATTATGTTTTTCATGCAAATAGATGTTAATAAAATTAATAATTTTAGTGACTGTTAAACAGGTACAATCCAGTAAAGGGATCTGTTATCTCCACAGTGTTTTTGAAAAATATTTTAACAAGAGACTTAGAAGGCATGCTGCTATTGTGCAGCGTGGTACGATGCGGAGATTTCTGACATAGGTCCAAGCATGGTAATTCATCTGTGCAGTGGAGGTACTAATCTGG